CGATGGAACGAAGAACTGTGAGCGATATATGGCGTCATTGACAAAGTTCCTCGAATTAAGAGATGACGTCTACGTTGGATATGTCATATAGTCCGTATGAACAAGATTACTCTAGCTTTAAGAGTTTTCAATGAAGTATCCGTCGATGGAAACAGAAAAAGTGGAAGATACACACTCCGTTAGAAATAGCAGGTGGAGAAAAACCGGACTGTATTTGGTATTTCCCATTTGCTCCAAGCAGCGAAAGTAAGAAATGAAAGGCGTACTGTTGCTTACTCGGCTATGAACGCGAAAGCGTCGTCTACACCACTCAAAAAGAAAAATGTCAACTAGAATAACATTTCAAAATCAGCGACAGGTTACCTCAAACTAATTATCACTCCAGTTGTCTTGTTACACTTTTCAATCAATTTTCAATAAGAGATTAATATTTTACATAAGTTTGCTGGGTTTTTAGAGCTAAAATAGCAATGGGGTAGGGCGAATAAGATGTACGGTGGGAAAGAAAAAGGTGGTAATTATTGCTTTTTTTAGGCAATGAAAACAAGAAGATAAAAGCCAAAAAAGTAGAAAATGTCATAAAACTTTTCTGGGAATGCAATGCTGATTGAAATCAACGCTAGATGGAGGGCGGGCGAGGGGAATCTCTGGATAAACTTATAGACATGTGTGCTCGTATTCAACTGTCGCATTGCTGCCAAACTCGTGTTTAACGAGCAAAGAAAAAGTGGACCAACATCACTGACAAGCCCGCATTCGTATTATTACCAAGCGATAGCTATGTAAGTACTCGTATGTGCTCGATACGCTCTAAAATATATTTCTCTTATCGCAAATACAACCACCGTATCTACATATTGTACATATGTAGTTCTTGGACACAAATCACTGCAGTAATAGAACTTTAACGCCTGTCACTTCATGGTCCATTTAACGGTCACATAGGTAAGCATGAAAGTATGTACAACTATGTACATACATACGTGAACGAAAGTAAGTTGCTTTGCCCTGCCCTCATGAAATATGATTGAGTTTGAGAAAAGTGATACTCGGAATAAAATCAACGGATAATGACGATTAACTTTAGAGTTTCAATTCTCTCTTTTACTACTCGAACTGATTAATAGAAATGAGTATTTCCACATGAAAAGCTCCTCTTTTTTTTCTTCTTTATTACGCATTTTCTCGTAAGTCGTATATTTAATGGTCGTAAACTGTCTAAAAGTCTCATTTCACTTTTCACTTCAAAAGAAAGATATTTTCTCAGTTTTCAACGAACGAGATTCAGTAAAAATTAGCCAGCAAGTTGTTTAACGGCTGTTTATTTTGTCAGTTAAATTTGAATCCGTTCGTTTGTACAGTTTATTGTTTTCGTCTTTTTCTTTTAGTAATTTCATAAGAATTTAAATAAATTTGGCAATTATAAAATATAAAATTATATTTAATTTATTAGTTTTATTGAAAATTTATTTTATTTAAACAAAGATGAAATTCTACATGCTTTATAGACGTCAAACGATAAATATACTAATAGGTTTTTTCTTATAGCTCTCTAAAAAAGATGAAGATTTATAAAAAACTTGCTTTGTAACAATTTGTCGCTTAGTTTTTAGTAAGGATGACTGAAATACGAAAATGAATTTGAAATTCTTTGAAAGTATAGAGGATTCCAAAACAACTCACTAACCAAGCTGATAGGAAAATAGTGGCAAAATTAGCGCACTTAATAGTTGTTGGTTAATAATGAATTGAATGATACAACAATAGTTTATATGGCTGATGTTGGCGCAGTGGTAGAACACTCGCCTGTTAAGCCAGGATCCGTTGGTTCGATCCCTGTCATAAGAAGTCTGATGAAGAGATGTGGTGATCTCCGAAACAGCTGTCACTTCTACCATTTTTCTTTGTTGTATAACAAATATTCAATTCATACAAACAATCAGGCCTCGTAGTCTACTTAATACTTATATCATAAAATTACTTTAATTTGAATTCAATTTCATTGAGAAAAATTCAATCTAATGATCACAAATCAGCTGTTTTTCACACTTGCTGGTTTTTACTGGGTAAAATTTTCCCAGAACGAATTTGCAACTTTCTCTCCGAATAAACGTCAAAATTGCGCTCTCTACTTGCCAATTTTTACCGAGTTTTTGACTCAAAGAACACGATCCAGTAAAGTTTGTTGAAAATTGTTACCGTCCATCTGATCAACGAACAAAACTATCAGGTGTACAACTTGCTTCCGCCGTTTTTTTACAAAATAAAAGCTTTATTGCAAAAAAGTGCTTACAGATACATTATTCAAAGTTTTGTCCTTCGCTAGCGACAACTTTCTCCCATCTTTCCGACAATTTTCGGATCCCGGTTCGAAAAAAGGAGTCCTCTTTCGACGCTATCCATGAAGCAATCCATTTTTTCAATTTTTCGAAGGATTGAAAATGTTGATCTGCCAGGCCGTGTGCCATCGAACGGAATAGGTGGAAGTCAGAGGAGAAGACTTCCCATTTCAGCGTTTCCAGGTACTTTTTGACCACTTTTGCGACGTGAGGCCGAGCATTGTCGTGTTGGAGGATGACTTTGGCATGTCGCCCTTGATATTGTGGCCGCTTTTCTTTTAGCGCGCGACTAAGGCGCATCAGTTGCGTTCGGTAGCGATCTCCTGTGATGGTTTCACCCGGTTTTAAGAGTTCGTAGTAAATCTTTGAAGGTTTTTTCTCTTCCACCACCATGTTTGTCTTCGAGATCGAAATCACCATTTTTAAAATGTTGAAACCACTTCCGACACGTTCTTTCACTCAGAGCAGCATCACCGTAAGTTTCTGAGAGCATTCGATGCGCTTCAGCTGCATTTTTTTTTCGAATTGTAACAGAAAAGTAAAACTTCCTGCAAATGGCGAGAATTCGGCACATAAACGGGCATTTTCGAGCGTGAATATTACGAAAACAAGAGCAACTGTCACTGAAATGGCGATAACAATTCGTCAGGCACTGTCCACACTCACTTTAAAGGCATTATCATCTACGTATTTCAACCAGCCTCAGCCTGTACAGCGGCCTATCGGAAAACGGCGGAAGCAAAGTTGTGCACCTGATATTATTTTACTCTGCATCAACCTTTATCGTTACATGGTGTATAACGGTCTGGTCTATGTCTTCCGCACTGTCATACACCGTTCAAAGTTCGTTCACCATTCTGTGTGCCAGCTCATGACGAAGGCAAAAGGAAGCACTTTTATTGAAATTTAAAGTTAAAGCAATAGTATTTAAACATGTAAACCTTTTACTATTGATCCATGTACCCATGCATTCGCTTTGCTATTAAGAAAGTCATAAATTTGCATACATTAGTACAAAGTCGAGTTAATCACATAACACTAACAACAATGGCCTTATCACTTCCACAACAGTAACGAACACCAGCAAAAACATCTGCACAATGTTTAGGCATAAATTCATACGCTTTGTTTCGGCATTAATTGTTGTATATGCATATGTATGAGCCGCTATTGGTTATGTAAACTTGTAAGGAGATTTGAGGGATGCAAATATGGAGGAGTTGAGCAGCGAAGCTTTTGTTGTCGAGTGCCAGCATATTGATGGCAAATACTTGCTGCAAATGTTCCATTTCCCACGTTCATTAGTAGCTTAATTCATTTGTGATTGAGTACAAGTGTTTAACGCAGCGCGTGCCTTGAAGGATAATATATACGACAACTATGCCTGAGCCTGTTGCGGCATGCTGTAAATTCTTTGTCTGCGTTTACTTATTTAATGCAAGTAGATTAAGTACATGCTTGCCTCTACGGGTGTTGTTACAGTTAAGTCGTTCGCTAGGTTCTGCTAATTGAGCGCCTTCAACCTTTGTTCATATGTTGAGTTTTGGCAAGTTTTAACCATTTATCAGATTTCTTTAAAAACATACATACATACATATGTATGTATATATACATAAAAAAATTAAGCGAATGTAAGTACAGGCAATATTTGTTCGTTCTTAAAATAAATCGTCATCAAAACTTCAAAAAATGCTGCCTACAATTTGGCATGTTTCGCATTACATAATAAAACTTATTAACGTATATTTTTGAAACGCCTATTTTTATAAATAATGAATAAGGCAAATGTACTCATTTGTTTTTGTAATAGTCGTTCGAAAAGTCAAAAACCAAATTTGTTCAATGTATTTTGTTGGTGGAATAGAAAATTCATAATGTCAAAACTTATTTCACATGTATTTTGCTTGTCTAAATTTAAATTAAGTTAAATTTTCTAATTGCGGCACCTCTCTGCATGGAATATCAACTCCTTCGAGTTTCCGACATGAAATAAAGGCTCCTCGGAAACAACCATGCGTTCTGTAGATCTCTTCATTTGTTGGAAAAACATCAAGAGGCGAAACCACAGATTGGAGGAGGAGCTCGGCCGAAGAATCGCTTCAGCGGCTACAAGGCCTCAATTATATATATAAATGACATTTCTTGAAATCGTTTACTGCCAGTTAGACTCTCATTTATTGCATAAATTAAGGATCGCCGTTAACTCAGCCACAAAATATATATTTAGCTTGAGAAATACGATCATCTATCATCTATGCTTGGCTGTGATTTACAAAGTTTCTTAAACGCGCGGATTTTCATTTTTGATTTTTAAACTGTTTTCCAGTAAGAACCCGGAGTATTTGTATAATAAACTTAAGTTCTCTATACTAATATTTCCAATCCAAATAAATAAATACGTGTGTATGTGAAATGACGTCATAACTCGAACAAGTTGAAGCATAACAAGCGCAGCAAGCTGGGTACCTAACTTTGGTAATGGGGAGCTCTTGTCATTTGTGTTCCTGTCGTTAACAGAATTATCTACCTGAGAAGCATAAAAGTGCTGGAGTGTTGCTGACCCCATACCGGAAGTGATTTATAGAGGCGAGCAGCAGCTATTATCTCAGTGTTTTTGCAAACCGAAAGTGAAAAATGAACGGAAGCTAAAAATAGTATGGCTGAAACTATTTTGAGTAAGGTTTTGACGAATAGATATTGATACTTATAACGTTTCAAAAAAAGAAAACAGAACGACTGTTTAAAGATGTTTAGATTCTCAAGGACATATTTTCGAATTTAAACGTTGTTGAGGTTTGTAGCGCTTCTGCTTGTTTTTCACTTTAAACTTTTTTATTTGAACACTTCATATGTCCATTAACACGGACTATAGTAAGACCAAATAGAGTGTCTGAAATGGTTTGATAAATTAATTTGTGGCTCTGTAGCTTGCGAAAATCTCAATCAACATTTTCTTAATTATAGTTTAACTACCTTTTGATGTGTATAACTAAATTAAATAAAATTGCATATATGTATATAACTTTCATATGATTATAATAAGCTTGTTTCCTGCAACAATGCTTTCTCTAATTTGGCAGCGGTTGCACATTGTAGTTCCAAACTGGCAAGCCCCGGCACACATATGGTACTGTATTGTAGTGTTTTGTTTCAAAGCGACGTTGATGAATACGCGCTAAAACCGCACACAGACTTCCAAATTGATAGATGGGAGTATCGCGGTAGCTGGGGATGTCAGACTTATATGCTAAAGGAGAAATTGTATTTAGATTACTTTAATACAATGAAAGGAAGCACTGATCTACTGGCTATTTACGTTTCGCTACGCCTTCCTTTATCCAACTTGCATGATCTATACACTGCCATGGGACCACACTGGGCGAATTCGGCGCTATCCAACGACTAAGAATTTCTGTCGCCACACCATCCATATTGGCATCCAAACCTGGCATTAGAGTTCCAATTAAAGTGGGGCTGACAAAAAAAAATATATATATCCGAGAAATGTTACAATTAAAATAAATTTAGAATAATTTAAAATAAGCCAATTCTGATTATCGGTATGCGGTAAAAAGTTGTTCAATTTTTATAGCCCAATACAGCATCACAACTTTTTCTCCAATCACTCTTTTTGGCACATATTACATACCACTTAGCAGCATGGTAATACAAATGCGAACCGACTAGCTCGCTGTACAACCCATTTGAATGTAAACGCGAAGAGTCACAGCCAAAGAGAAATACCACACAATTCATTTGTTGACGAGCAATGTGTTTTCCATTGAGATATTGTAACCCCGAGCCGTGTCCGGCATACCTAAAATAGCAGAAAATACAAGTAATTAGTGTAATTGAATTTTGGTATATAACCGTTATATGTGGAAGCTGCGAATATAGCGGCATTCATTGAAAAGTATGTATAGAGAATTTCCATTTAAAAAGTATTTAAAGAACAACGAAACAAAATAATAAAAAAACAATCTTAACTGTATTCGTTGCCACACAAACAACAGCTATTTATCACAATATGCTTACACATAACAACTGCGTTTAAAGAAGTCCTTCAGCAGCTCTTCCTGTGTTGGCTTTTGCGCTATTTTCTTCAACCAATTTGGTAGCCAATAGTCGAAAAAGCAACGCATGCGCATCTCTGTTTTTGGCAAATTGTTATCTGCAAAGTTATTAAATTAAGTAAGTGCTTCGATCCACTGAGAGGAGATTAATGAGTAAAAAAAAAAAAAAAAAAACAAATTAATAGCGCAATTGATTCTTTATAAATGGAAGTGGCTAAGAACGTACCAGGATTCACAAGACATCCTCCGTCGATGATGTCGACACAGAGATAACCTTTGTGCATGCGGTCAGCATAGAGATTATGCAGACGCCAGAGACATTGTAGGGAATTGACACGACTATATTCTTGTTGAACATTTAATTCCTCCCAAAAGAAATGGTCAAGACGCTACAACGGCAATTAAAAGATGAATTATTGAATAAGTTCATAATTGACGTTGAAATGTTGTTTCTCTAATACAAACCTCATCAACAATTAAAATGCACGGATAGTGATGAGTTGAAGGACGCCTTGCGGAATTGCTATTATTATCGCTTTCAGCATTTCCTTCAGGGCATTCAGCTGGTGCTGTGAACATTGAACTTTTCGTAATTAAAATTAATACAAGTGCATTAATCAAAATTGCTTACCCGCATTTTGTAGTTGCAGTAATAATTTAGCAGCATTGCTCTTTTCTCGACTGTTGCTCGTAAGCAGTCCACAAATTGCATGTATTTCCAACTCAGATAATAAATCGACATTAAAAGCGGTCAGCGAGAGCAAGACGCGCGCTTGTGTATCCCAATGGTACTCGTTGCAAAAGCCATCGACGGTAGCGAATGCTTTCCTCTGTTTGGCAGCCAGCGCGGTAGCTTCTGCGGACGGCCGGATATAAGGTTGGCCGGTGAAAAGGAAACTCCATGGGAAGAAGAAATTTTTCAGGTCTTTTAATGCTTGCTAAAATTAAAAAAATATCATAAGTCTTTCCATAATATTTATGACTTTAAGAAAGTGTTACCGATATATGCTGATCCAATTCACAGAGCATATCCCAATAAAACTTTTTGGCTTCTTTTGTGCTATACTCTTTGGGGTCCACGTTGATACATTGCTTGAACTTACTTGCAATATTGGCATATTTTTGGAATAACTCTTTCTGTTCCGGACCACTAAAACGCAGGCAAATCGGTGTAGGATATTCAACGCTGCGTGCATGTTTAAAAAGTGTAAAATATATGGCAGCATCTAGCTCATGTATTTGCGGAAAAACCGAGTATGTAGTTTCTGTACGTGGCCCTTTACACAATTGCAATATTGTCCATTCTAAGCAATAACAGCAAAATTGAAATGATTTAATATAACTTTTTTGTTAATATTGTCAAGAATTAAAATTCGTTTAAATATATTTTCAGACCTTTTGGCATTTTTTGACAAATCTCTTCGACTTTTTTCACTCCCTGCAAAGGGTCGACAATGTTTTGCAAAAAATTGCACGATACAAATTCCGATTCTTCGTCACTATTTAGCTCCGTGTTTTTATCGCGAATTGTATCCAGTGCAAACTGCATTAATGGATTACTAAAAGAAAATTTTTAATTTATGTATTGAACTTACTAATATTGTTTTGTATTACCTTTTGAGATTCTCCTTTTCCCAAAGACTCATTCCCAAGCGCAGCTGTTCTGCGAATGCGGGACTGCCGTCCATATCTTCAGCTTCATTCAATATTTTTTCGATTTGAAAGTAGCGCTCCTGAGAAGCCTGATACAATGCCCGTATTTGGTAAAATATTGAAGTTTGCAAGTTTCCTTTATCAAATTCTACTTCAACTTGATCAAGGAATAATTCTACAAAACAAATTTTCTAAACCCTATTTACCAACAAATGTGAAGTACTCACCTTTTGCATTAGGTCCGACGTTCACGCCAAAGCTGCCATGCAGTAAATATTGCACAATATCTTCTTCCATAATCGATGAATCTTATTATTTAACAATTATTTTTAATTAAACTGCAAATATTAAAATTCAAATTGTTTACCGCTTTAAAAGACAAATGTCAGAAATTGCTCTGACGGATTCACAATCCCACAGGGTGTCCAATGTGGTTTGGAGTCAAAAGTAACAAATGGAAATGAAATACAGGATGTCAGAAAAAAATTTATGATCCAATCAAATTTTTGGCGTTATTTTAGTGTAAACACCGGAAGTATTATAAGAACTTAACACTTTAAAAATACAATACATTCAATAAAGTTAGATTTAAATTGGTATACATGCTAACAAATTTTGGGGTTTTATTTCTCGCGCAGCGCCACATATTTCGAGAAAGAAGAAAATGCTACAAATAGGATGGCATTTAATTTTTAAGTCCAATATCCATATGCAACCATGCATATTTAACGGCCGTTATTGCTTATGTTTCCGTTTGTTTCTAATAATTTCGCAAACTCCTGAATTGAGCAGCGTTTTAATAGAAACATTGAAAGCAACATTACAAGCCTTCCCTGAGGTTGAGTAAAGAACGGCTAACTAAAAGATTAACCGAGAACGTGAAAATTAGTAGTAGTAGTAGAAATAGACAGAAGTTTCCATTCTATAATTAAAAACATAATATTTCGCAACCTTTAAGGAAATCTCGCTAAGTGGTATACCAACCTCTAAAGTTTACTCTTGGGTAAATGTATGTGTATATTATCTCACACTTTGTCAACTAATTGACTTTAAAGTCCCTTGTGGCGCCAAAGTGTTGTGTTCAGAGCCTGCCGTAGTGTATGTAGGATGACATGGTAAGAGGTAAACTTGTAAATCAAATTATTATCATGATTTAATGTTTAACATGATTAAAGATAATCTACTTAAGTGCAAAACAAAATCACAGTATTGTCATGAACAACAACGAGGCAACTGCTTCAAAACATATTAACTTAACCCACTTACGCGCACCTCTTTCCCTCAAATTGTCTTTCACATCTAAGTATTTACCATTTGGGCCGAATGCCAGCGTGCCAGAATGAACTTAATAGCCAGGTGGTAGTTATCAACACACAACTAAACTTATTGTAGCGTCAATCAAGTCATTAATCAAAGTAAACACAGGACAGTGTTGCTCATTTTAGTATAGTCTTATTGAATCTGCGCTTGGTCTTGTGGCGATTTGTTCGTTTGGTGGTATTGGAGCAGAAGTTTACTTTTATAAATAATACTTTTATGATGAAGTTGAAATGGGAAATTATAATTTTAAGTTCATCTTCTGTTTATTGCTTAATTATGTTTTTGGGTAATTAGCTCTCGGCCATAATCATATATTTTAAATTCGATGAGTTATAACTGTTACAAACATTTTAAATCTTCTTCTTGCCAATATAGAGGGTTTGATGAGGGTTTGGGTTTGCGCTTTTTCGCTGATCTAGAAAGCTGAGTTGCTTTTGTGTATACAATTTACATGCGTCATATACAGTGCAGCCGTTGTAGTGTAAAAAGGATCGTTCCAGGGGTGTAGTGAAATAACGAAAACTTGTTTAAAAAATATTGTTTATGGCTTGTTTCCCTTTTATATTAATGCAAAGCGTTTTGCTTTGAGATCAACTTTACAGTTTTTTTTTTCACAATATTTTTTTAACACGTTTAAAGCTTCAATGATATTTGCTTTCTGTAACAAAGTTTCTGCCATTTTAAATAACAGTCAGGTCAATGCAATGTTCATACTAGCGCCTGCAAATTCGTTCACACTAAAGGGGCTAAATGTAAAAGTTTCGGAGTTCACACGGATGGGATATTCACATAACCGCGTGTTCACACTACTGTGATTGCACTGTAGCTGGGACATTTATATCTGTTTCATTCAACTTCAATTGGTTACCTAACCAACGTTTGTTTTTTCACTGCAATAAGTTTTCCAGTAATTCTAAATGTACAGTTCACTGAGCTGTAAGGCAAGCAGCTCCGATTTATAAAAGCAATTAAAAGTTTAATTAGAATCGGGTACAACATTAGAAAGATTTACGCAGGCTGACGAGTTGATAAAAGATAAAAAGGCAACTGAAATATTTACCACAGCAGCGAAAGCACTCCATAAGGGATAGAAGGTGCTCTTATGGAGATTAAGATGCCGATTACTATTATGTTTTTTGTATAACACATTCGCTTATATTTTTCCCCAAATTTTCAAAGACTTCCACTTAACTTCGGCTACTTTCTCTTGCCTCTTCTAGGTAAGCCAGAAAAGATGGAATTCGCGCAATTTTACATCTACCAACAAAACAAAAAAAAAAAAACCAACAAAGAAAACAAACAGACGTAAGTTTTTTTTATATTTTTATATTTTTCCAACGGAGTGGAGGTCTTCCCTTCTTCTGCTTCCACCGGCGAGTACTGCATCGAAAACTCTCAAAGCTGGGGTATTCTAGTCCATCCGGACCACATGAGCTAGCCACCGTAGCCGCTGTTTCCTAATTCGCTGAACTATGTCAAGCTCCTTATCGGCTGTGGTATGCGCCGTCCCCAATTGTCGTTGATGACCATAAATCTTACGCGAAACCTTTCGCTCGAAAACTCCTATTGCCAACTCAGATGTTGTCATCATCCGTGCCTCCGCGCCATAGAGCCGGGCTTGGCCAGCTGGGTTTTACTTCGTCGGTAAAGGACTTTACTTTTCAATTACCTACACTTAACTGTTTGCTTGATGACAAGAGATATGTCGTCTTGCTCTCGCTCACTACCAGTCCTATGCGCTTCGCTTGGTAAAATTTAATACGTCCTTCGCCGAAGGGACATAGTGCAAGACTCCTACCTAAGAGAGTCACTTCTCGTGGTAGCCAGAATATAGTTGAGCTTATATAAAATATAAATTTATTTTATAACTGCATTATATGTTAACATAATTAGCTAGAAACGCTTTTTAACCGTTGAATCGGTTCCTAATCTAATTGTTTGTGTGCGTCTCGATGTTCGAGCAGCTTTTCGAAAAATGAATTTTTTAAATCAAGGTTCGAGACCATGACCCTCGGTATGGTTGTACGCACTGCTAACAAGTCAGGGAAGACTAATTTTATTTGTCTCACCATTGGTCTCTTGTTGGATATATATTATAAACCGTATATCATTTCTTTGATTTGGGATATATTTTACTGCAGAGAGGACTTAAAAAGCCAAAACAAACTACAACCAATTTCACTTTATCATAGGTTTTATTTTAGTAACTCCTTGGGTAGCAATCATGCCGACCATTTAAATTAAGCGAAGTTGAGCAATCTGTACTATTCGAGCTTTATGCATATACGAAACTTTTAAGCTCAAAAACTGTTCGAAAGAAACTTTAATGCCACAAAAGCCATCAGGCTCGCTCTCGAAAACAATTCAAAGCTCTCTTAGGGGCTAGGCAGCCACTCCTCAAAGCTTTTTCATTCATAAAACTTGGCTATGAGTAAAGCTTTTCCTTTCTTTATTTTCACATTGTTATTGTAGTTGTAGCATTTATGACGCACCTTTTATTTGGTGTTTGATTCATATGTGATCAGGACATGATGCAATTGGAAACAGTAGAACCGGGAGACTGAGTATATGTGTTTGTACGCAGCTGTCCTACCTCATCTCTAATATACTTACATATATACATTTATTATTCCCGCTTATGAAAATTTTTTCATTTTTCGTTGAAGAGCCACTTTGTTGAGACTTATCTTCTCTCTACTTCTTTTTTCAATTATTTTTCCTTATTTGTTTCTATTAGCTTTTTCTACGCAGTGGTCGTAATGGAAGCTTAGGCTTTGAACCACACCTTCTTGATGCCCTAAAAATAATCTGTAAGAAAAACAAATCGTTGTAAGCATTATACGTTCGTTGCATGTTGCAGTTGCCCTCCAAACGAGAAAGAGAGCCACAAATATGTTGGAAATGAGGAGCTTTGTCCAAGAGCTTTCTGATGTTATACTTGTTGTTTTCCTTGAATTTAGTTCAACGCTTTCTGTTCCCTCATTGTTGTTGCAAAAAAAAGGTTGCTGCCTATTATTTATGCATTTGGTGCGTCAGCAGCGAGGGACCGTTGATTGGCATTTTTGCTAAATTCTAGGCATTTCTTTTCATATATTAGAATTTTGAATTTTGAATAAACTCTTTGACATCAGAAGAGCCTTGTTTATGCCGCAGATTATAATGGATACCAGATTGGAAGCATGCTATTCGGCCATTTTCACTTTTGGAAGTGCCCTTGGAATGCTTAAAGTCCAAATATATCCACTGAGCGATGACAAGCGAAAGTCGTGTTACCGATATAGAAAATGTGGGTTCAATGAATTTGTACGTCAGCAGAGGACTATCACCTAGCTATATCCTGTACATGCTAGCAAAACACGATTACTGAAGCCTAAATGGAGACTTCACTTGCTTTATGACTTGAGCTTTCAAAATACTGCATATGGACTAGTCCTCTTCTTAGCAATATCTATGTAATCGGGTTTTGCTTTGTCTTCGTCTCGTTCACTCCTTCGTTTCAAATTGTTTTGAGGACAGCTTTGGCAGTGCCTCCATTAACTTATAATTCAGATATGTATATATCAACAAAGACACTTTGCCATTTCTAAACAATGTTCTTCGTTTAATCCATTTCTCCGTTAAGTTCACTTACTCGAGGGTAGGCAATCATAATTGAGTCTCAAACACAAATTTGTGGGTCCATATTATTGGAACTGTTTATTTTTCATTTGGGATCAGAAATCTTGAGCAACTTGAACCTGGTGAAAGATGATGTGGTTACTGATAAAAATATCGAAAATGGCCAATCCAAAAATCTCATTCATGTCTTTCGCTTTTCTGGTCTACGTAGATGAGCTAAAAGTTTATGTGAACCAAATAGGCCGATCTCTTTTTTGGGTATTTAGAGGAATTCTCGAAATTCCGTATGATACAATTTCAACTCATCCCAGTTAACATCAATCAGATCTCATCAAGTCAAAGCATATTCTGTAACTACCGACCGTTGCGCTTACACAGAGTAGGATGAGGATCCGCTGGAATCAATATGTATAGGTGTATATAGAAGTGCTTCACAGGCATTCTACCGGAAATAAATACTTGTAACTCTTATCAAAGGACAAAGGACTGAGAGGTAGACACATTCACTTTCGATTATCATTTGTAATCTTTTAGTAGTCTTTTACATGGGTATGGGTACATATTTTCATACATATGGACCTGTGCTCCTATGTCATGATGTCAGCAAGTTGACGCAGCCACAAAAAAGCTCGAAAAGTCCCACGAGCACTCAATGCTGTCGCTAACACGCAGTGCAACCAAGCCGCAAACTGACTGAAAGCAAAAGCATGGAAAAATAAAAGCGTGCTGCCAACAAGCGCCAAAAACACCCACGCTTCGCTAAGGCAAACACAAAGGAAACCATTGCGTGCCTTCCGCCAACCAGTGTAAGCAAAAACAGTAGCAACAACACCGGCAGTAATAAAAAGTTGTAGTTAAGCCTGTGTGTAGCAAATGTTGTTTGCACTAGAGGTTGGAGCTTATCTGCAGCGGCAGCTGAACCAGGAGCCAGAAGTGCACGTAAAGGAATGCTGTTGGGTTTTCACCCAAACACACACACACGTACAGACATAGCTTGTATATGCTTATATGCTTTAACTTGCTCATTAAACAGGCTCCGCAACCCAGCTACCCGTGTGTTCTTTTGACTGAATTTTCGAAAGATTTTCGGTGCATGTGTGTTGGCTGCCACATCTCGAGTGGGTGTGGCAAGGCGGCTTGTGTACTTATGGGCGCATTAGCATGCGTGAGTGTTGGTTTTGTGTGGGCGTTTGACAGTCGAGTTTATCTAATGTAACGTGTTATTATAATAAAGAGTGAAAATCAAGAGTCGACGAGCACAGATGATTTCAGAGTGAGCAAATAAATAGTTGTTTAGAGCGAGAATTAAGGACTAAAAATAACGCATATTAGTCAAATTTTATATTATTATTATTTTTCTTTCTGAATTTTTTTCTATACGATTTTCCATTACCCTTTTTGTTTGCTGTTGCTGCCGATATTTGGTGACGTAGTTAAATTACAAATGAACTATTCCTGAACTACCGTTGCCAGCCCAGAGCCTGTACCAATCATTCGGGTTTTGCCACCCACTCGTACTGACGTAATGACTTGCCTCTTGGTTACGTCGAAATGCAGCGATGCACTTAGTACCGTGTGAGTTAAACGATGCATATCGCAAAAGCGCCTAACCGCCTCAGGGGCGTTCTACACTCATACTTCCTTCTAGAAAGAAACTATGCGTTAAAAGCGTTGTTCTGTAGCTCAACTGTGGAATTTATCAGGAATGTGACGATCGAGTGTCCCCACAAAGGCCTTAGAGTTAAGATTTTAACTTGGGTTCCAGACGTAGACGTATAGAGATTATTTGTTTGCGGCCAAAGTATTTTTTTCATATCAAGGTGAACTTGTCCATGTTTACAACCAGTGTCACCACGAACATTTGTAGAGCCTTTTCTGTTATTTAAGAAGGCTAAATTCAGGCTTCAGTAGCGAAAACAAAAAAAGCCCTCTGAAATATAGGTGACGATGCAGGCGAATGTAACACAGAAATGTGGATTTGTTATACAATATATATACCCTTTCATTATAACATCGAATGAGCTGAAAGTGGCCGGGAGGCTGGAGCATTCCTAAATACCTTGAAAGCATATAAATAGAAATGTACAGATAATTCACTTACTTATCTATATTTATGTGCATAGGTGTGTGTAAGTCTCAATGGTGTTTTTGTTTGTGTTTCGTCGGTTGTTATTGTTACAATACACTTTCTCTATATGGAATGTGCCCCTATGTATGTAATCGCCCATATGTATACACCTTGTAACTAGCTAATGTGAGGCAGGTGTGGTCGCATCAAAGTTCATTTCACAACATCTTCATACATAATATATATGCATATATAATATAATAATATATGGTGTATTTGTTTGCACATAGTATATATGCATATATGTGTACATGTATGCAGTGTAATGGCTTTGAGTGCAAGAATGCATGCAGAGCATGTCCTTGTAACGGTAAAATGGAGTAAATGCCTGCCGATGTAGAGGGAGAAATGCGAGAACGTAAAACAAAGATGAATGAGGCTAGATGGGGAGAGCGGAAATGCAAGCGGAAGGAGCGAGCGGAAAGTGATAGAACAAATCTTGTAGATCATTAAAATACATATGTATATGGGTTTATGATCATTTCAATTCATATATGTATATAAATAAGTATTTGTACGCAATCCTACTTAAGTCGTTATTTTGCGAGAAAATAAATAAGGAAAGGCGAATGATTTTCCCTGCTTTATTCTTCAGTTCAGGCACAGCATAATTTAGAATGAGCTTTAAGTTGCTTTTTAGCCAATGTATGTTGTTTAGTCAAAATAAAATTTAATCAAACACAGTCAGCAGCAGCAACTTCATTTTGTGTCAATGCACAAACCTCCTTCTCTAGCTCGTTACTGTATACCCCACCTTCTCAGAGGTAAAAAGCGCTGCTGACATTGGCGCCGGCAGCCGAACTTAACGAAACCAACCAACTACACTCTTGGTTTTGCTGATGAAAGAGAAGTTGCGATGCTGATTTGAGTACTTGACATTCTCGCTCGTCGAGCCATCTTTGACACTTGTGGCGCACGCGCTATCGCTCACTGTCTGGTTAGCTGCCAAAAGGGATGCTGAGCCATGGAATGAACATCTAGCACATAGGTATGTTACATGTAAGCTTTTACTACCAACAAGCTGCTCGTGGACTTGTACGCTTTTACATATTTCTGTGTAAATCGCTTGGCATTATTTGACATATTCTATTTGATTGAATTTCGCAGTGTTGGCATGTTTTGACTCTCCCATAATATTTGCACATGGACAAGATAAGCCCACGCAAAAACATTCATTTAACAAGCTCTGTTTCCCGTAAAAGCCAATGGTTGTATGCGTTCATCGCTTTGAAACCAAAACTTTAACTCAAAGAGCAACATTTTTTATTTAATTTCATTTAAACTGCACCAAGCAGTTCTCGATTGGATTTACGGCTCCAAAATAATTGTACTTTGAAGGTTGCAAATAAATACATCCCTTTGGCAGATAAAGCCGCCCTGCGAACTGAATATCCGTAAAATGTATTGCAACAAGTGTCGAACGGCTGCAATGAAGTTTTTTAGCCACTTTTGGCTCTTCCATTTGGTATTTGAGGTATGTTTTCGCTGCTACTTTTTGTTTTGTAGTAGGAAAGCATGATCCAAGGGTAGAGGAGAATATGATTCAAAGAAGAAATGTGATTCAAGAAAAAGTTCGAACTCATGACCTTTGGCATGGCAGTACACACTGCCAAGCATTTGTTAAAATCGGCCGCAGAGGCAAATACCTGCTTAACTTTGAACTGTCCTTGACCCAAAACCCATTCACCTTGCATGTGACAATCGATATTATATTAAATAAAATTAATGAAACCTCAACAGCAGCCATTCAAACGCGTTGAGCTCTTCAGCTAACACCCCCACTTGTATACCGCATACAAAAGTTGGGCAAATCAATTAAGGAGGTTCAGGGAAGTCGCTAAATGCCCTAGATTAGGCCCAAACTGTATAATGATTGAGAATAATGAGATGGGAATGGAACTCTGGAAATTACTGGTTTGGCTATTAACAAATATATTTACATACGTACGTTTATAACAAAAAAAACAGGGTACCCCAACTTCAAATATACTTAAAAAAAAGGCAAAAAACAAATCGAAAGTGAGCAATAAAGCACATTAAAAGTACGCACATAAGATATAACTACTTACACATGTACACACATGTAGAAGAAGTTAACTTTGCTTTCACAACAAAAATTTTGCGAATTCAATACAAAAAACAAAAACATTAAGGTATGACAAGTGGCAGTGTGAATAGTGAAAAACTTTCACTGTGATGAAATGCATGATGAAAATTCTTCTTTTAGCGCACACTCACATACATATGTACACTTACAACAAATACAAATGTCGAGGAAAAAAGCTATAAAAACAATACAGCAATAACAATGGGAACAGCAACAAAATAAAATTATACTAAAACTTACAACAAACCAAATAGAATGGAAGAAATGAAAATAGAATAAAATAAAATAACGACACACATACAGAGGTCGCAGTGGGATGCGCGCAGGTGTATATAAACACGGGCATACAAGCAAATTGACACGAAGGCGAAAAATCTAGAGGAATTCGGAGCTCGTTGACTGTGTTGTTGCTGCTTGCTTTGACGTGTAAGCCATGGCATCCATAACATTCAAACAACAACTACAACAACAGTGAAAGCGAAAGACTGCACTCGCTCCAACAAAAATGTAAACACAACGGAGATATTCTTCGCGTGTGTATGTGCCAGCGTGATTCTGAAGCAATTTCTCTTTTCATTCTCTTGGAGATGAGATTTTTGGCATAAACGCGGCGAATTCGCAGAACACCAAAAACACACAAACGAACTGGACCAACTGAGCTCAGGCCGTGGCCGACCAACAGCCAACCAAAGTTTTAGAGCTGCGGTCAAACAATTTCAAAACTTCGAGGGCTTTGGTTGTTTAGTGCGGTGCTGTTCTGCTGCTACTGGGCGAAAGCTGAGTTTTCAAATACATATACAACTATAGAGAGCAAAGCAATATATATATGTATATTCTAAAGCAAATATAATATATATACAAGTATTTAAATTGATTCGTTGGCCAGTGGAAAAAGTAAAAAATTTTAGTAGAAAAATTAAATTTTGTTCTCAAAGCAGTTAAAAGAGTTAACCTACGTATATGTAGTAGTGCAACAAACAAAAAAAAAAAAAACGTTCGCCTATGACTGTGCCAAAATATATTAGTATAAATGTGTAACATTAAAAAAAATAAGCCCCTTTTGTGAATTTTCCAATATTTCAAGAGTTTAATTAAGAAAGCAAATTAAGGTGTGGTGATTTATGCAACTTCTACGTCGATTCTCTCATTCTGCAGTAACGTGTTTAAGGCACAAAGAAGGTTTAGTGTGAAAAGAAGTTTTAAAATAGCGCAGCGTAGCGGATGAAACTAAAATGAAACATTTCATAATTCAATTATTATTCTGAAAATTTGGTAGAACCTAAAAGACTTTTGCAATTTTGCACCAAATAAGAAAATTTCAACACTTTAAGGGTGCAACTTTAATAACCAAGGGGAAGAGAACAAGTGCGCTGTGCACTCCCCATTGCGTTAAATTCTTTCAGCTCGTGCGCTGAAAAAGTTTCGTTCAGTTTTTTGACATTTCCTTGGCAAGTATCAACACAAACACAAAACATCTGCAGAAGAAAGAAGTGAAAAGTGCAATAAATATTTTAAACAAACGAATATAAAATTAATATAATAAAACTAAAACGAAATAGGCGATTTCGCAAGCTGACATTATTTTTTGTAATTGAGCAACCAATTACAAAGAAGAGGAAAAAGCTAAAATCATTATAACGTACCTACAAATTGAATATGCCATTAGATAAGAATCCAAATTAGCCCAAAACTGAAGATATACCATTCCCATTCACCACCAATCTGAAAAAAGTTATCAACTGAAATTCACAACATTTGTGCTCCTCCCAGCACATTGCTGTATCGATCCACAACATTGTAACCATCATTATTATCACCAGCAGCAGAGTTAATACAGCCTAGACTTCGGAGAGGACTACCTACCAAACCCTTGACTCTCCCCTAATCAGTACGCGGCATAGCTTCGTCGTCTCGGTCGGCGTCTCCGTCACTATCTGCGTCAGCAGCAAACGAGCGAAAGTATCAACAATTCACACAACTGTATAATTCAACATATGTCTATCCAAGTGTGCGTGTCGCTGAGATGCTGACTCTAATTTGAAAATCTCGTAAGTGTGCCTGTATGTGCGTCGGTGTGCGTAAATGTACTGGCCATATCCTCCGAACCTGCTTTAACGTTCGATTCAATGCTCTAACGTGCGCATTTGTCGTATGGCTGTCGTGCTTAACTAGCGGGTGCAGAGAGCTCTGACAACGTGGGTTTCTTTCTTCTAAAGCAAGAGAAAGGGAAAATTTATTGCATACTTTCGGGAGTAAATGTGCAAAAAGTGAGTGGGTTTGCAAAACTAAGGCGGTAGAATTGATAGTGTGAAAATTAAGCAACTGTTGAAGGAAACATTTTCGAAAAGGTGAATTAAAGACAAAATTTCGCTTTTTTTGGCTACGAAAATTGAAAATGCAGTATAAAAACGGGTAATAAAGAAGAGAAAATTCTTAATGCTAATCGCCTAAGCGTGGACTTCGATTTTTCGTCTAAAATAAGGCTAGTGAGAGTCACGCTACATAAATAGAAAATAAACATTACATTCATCATTTAAAAACATCTTCTACTTGGACAGGTGAAATTTCCATTATAAACAATAAAAACAAAGTTCACGTTTTCCAATGAAGTAAAAAGGCATTATAAAACTTTCTTTCTTGCAAAACGAACTTCGCCCGAAGTTGTGGTTCGAGCAGCAAACTAATAATAAAAATATCGTTTTCCAATATATATACTTGCAAAGTGTTATAATCAACAAAGAAACGCTTATTTCTTTAGATATATCTTGCACCCAAATTTTACGCAGTGAAATTCGCATGTAGCATGCAGAAATTAATCGAAAGGAAAGGAGTAGGAACGGAAAGATACGTGCATATTTTATTCAAAGGCAGTCGTTAAAGTTTTCGCCTTCGTCGTATTTTCGGGTAACTGTGGGCCATGATTGTGTATCTTTAGGTGTGTGTATGTACATATATGTGCTTAACTTTTCTCGCTATAAAAAGTCTATAAAGCAAAGACGTCAGGTTAGCCTGAGTAAGCAATAAAACAAAAGAAAAAAGGTGAAAAAGAAGTGTTGAATTAAAAATGTTTTAAATAAAAATGAAGTGATTTTAGAAATGGTTACAAATTAATCAAGCCTAACAAAATTTTCCAAATCATAAAAAAAGCCAAAGCAAACACAATAAAACTCAAGCCTTCAATTGCAAAATACCGAAAAAACTCAGCTATCGCAGTCGAGCTGGAAAATAGCGCAGTAGCAGCGAAGGAATTATAAAAATCTTAATAACCTAACGAAACCGAAAACAACATAAACATACACCCAACAAGTCAAAAAAAGAGCACTAAAGTTAAAGAGCGGGAGCAAAAGTTAAGCAAAGCAAAAGAGAAAGTTCCTCTAGCATCCCCAAAACGTTTCGTTAAAAACTGAGCGTGGCAGCAGAAAGCAGCATCAGTGTGGTGCGCTTCAAGTGAATGAATAACGGCACATAAACACATGTGTATTTATAGCTGTGCACGTATATATCAAAACAAACAATATTTGACAGCTGAGTAGCAAAGTGACATACATATATACATACGAAATCGCCACACTACTAAAAAACAAATGCGATAAAGAGGTTAGCTTGGCAAAAATCAAAGAAAATCAGGGCTACATAAAATTATAAACAAAACTTTCGGGAGGACATAAATAAGAGCGTCCAGTTTTAAGAAGAATTCAGTTTACATATCGTTTTCTAAATTGAACAAGCTTGGAAATTAAAATTGGATCAGCAACTCAACTCGATTTAAAGCGCATCACTCGAAAGTAACTCGACTGAGTGTTTTGAACTGAAGCAACAAGGCTCAGGACTTCAGTCAAATCCTTGGAAGCGAGAGCAAGTTCAGTAAAACAACAGAGAGATGGGCGCTAAGGAAAGCGTGGAAGCTGCTGCGAAAATGAATGCGGACGGTTGGGGTCACGTGGAGGTAAACAGATTTTATGAATAAAGTATTAATAAATTTGTGTAATTCCAAAAAAAAAAGAAAAAAAGCAGAAAATGCTGCGAGCACTCTTGTTTTCTTCCCCTGTAAATTAATTAATAAGAAACTTGTATTTTAACAACTCATTTTGCGCACATAGACATTTCTTTAACTTAAGCCTAACACTACAGATTTAGCCATTTTTATTGATACTGTGTCTGCCATAGTGAAAATTATAATTTTTTCCCTCAACTTGTTTTCAAAAAATCTTAAAACCATTCCAAACTGTTAATACATTAGACAATTGATAGTGAAAGTCTGTGCGAAAGATTTTAATTTTAAATTCTATTATGAGATCATCTGGCGTTGACCAAAGTCAGTTTACATACCTTACTGCGATACACATTCAGACATTGATACAGCTTAGATGCAGTTTTAAAATCCACATCATTAAATAGTTAATGAAACAGCGGTAACTAGATTTCTGCTTTGGTTGCCTTCTTATGGAAAAATCTGCATTTAATGTTATTTCCTAATTTTTAAATTTTTAGATCCATCTTTATATTGCCAATGTAATTTTCTTCTCATTTCTACTTCAAATTTGATGAGCATATTTAGATCCTTCTCCGTATGTTTTATAAAATCTTATTTTATTTCTCGTTGCTTTAACGGCAATTCTTTATTTGTAAAGAGAAGTTTTTAAAAGGCAATCTGATTATTTTATGCATGTAAATGATGCTTCTAAATAAATGGACACGTCAAATAGGACAGTCACTGAGTGCAGCAAAAGAGTATGCAAAGTAATCTTCGAGTGTCATGACAGCACATAAATTCAAGCATATTAAGATTTAGCAAACAAAGCCAATAACAAAGCAATATATATAATAGCAACACTAGTGGATGCCACACAGAGATAATCCAGAAACAAACATAGCCAGCCGTTTTCGTATGAGCTGGCATGGCGGGAGGGGTGACAACTAGTATTGTTGCAGAAAAAACTCAAGTGTTTCATGGAAGAGGGCCTAAGCAACCTGCAACAAAGACTTACTGCCAGAGACGTGAAAAATGAATTTGTGAGCGTCACAACTAATACCACTTTGAAGGAAATATAAATATAATGGAATTCACTTCCAGCTTTAATTGGAATATTAAAATAGCACTTAAGAGACAGTAGATATTAAGGTGAGGTGAGGATTAGTGAAAATCAATAATAAACTTTGCGAAATCTGACAAAAAAGATTGATCATTGGGGTCAACCACATACATTTTCATACCAATTTGCTATTAAATGGAGCGAAATTGTGCATAAAATTTGCAACCAAATATTGCTGCCATAATTTCAAACCATTCAGCGATATTAAATGCAACGAAAGAAAGCTTGGTTGAATAGTAGAATTTCTGATTTTAAATCTCTCTAAGTTCTCTGCTCCTACGGTGCGTTGGTGTTGAGCTCATTACTGAGGCTGGCCAGTGTTGCTGCTTTAAAGCTCTTTAGTAAGTGAGTAGTATCGAAACTATCGTTCCGCGGTAGGCGAAATAAGCTCAAATGAACTTCGAAAACATCAATTTCCAAAAGCGTATTTTAATTTCAAGCGGATATGTTATATTCGACATATGTTTCATTCTGAGACACTCATTCAAAAGGCCTAGTCCGCGTACATGGAATTTTCTTCAGACAATTATAGAAAAGTAGACATATGGAACCATATATGGCAAGGATGTAAAATGCGATCAGTGAAATATGGCAGAAAGGTTTATTGTTTGCAATGGCAATTAGCCACTTTTTCTCTAATTGCTCATCAGCAGATCGAAATTTGAATATGGCAACACTGAGGCTGTTATGGTGGAAGCAAATTTCACAGCGCTCCCAGAATAAACCACCCATTTTTGTCAACTGTAGAGCATAATCATTTCGACACAATCCAACCACCTTTCGGTGTCTTTGGCGGCTTTAGTGCACAACTCTTGTCTACTGCTCCCTTGAACGGACAAAGCTCTGCAGTTTTATTAACATTAAAAAGAGAAAAAATCAAGGTACACAAAGGCAAAGGATTTAAGAGGAATAAAACTGGGTCAAAGTACACCAAACCTCCGTTTTGTTGCTGGTGTGTGTGCGTGAGTGTGTGTATGTGAGGCCGAGCTTTATATCAACTCCATTGAATACGAATGTAGTTGCATGTATATGTGTATGTTTCCATTTGGGAAAAGGATATAAAAGGATTTCATTTGTAAAACATTTTGTGGTTGAATTGAGATTTTATGTGAGGGCAGAGATTGTTGAGTGTGATTTAAAATTAAACGATGGAATTGTAGTTCTACACATACGTGTATGTACATACATGCTAACATATTTTCAAAAGTACACTGGGTTGCTAAAAGTCCGAAATCCTCTATTTGAAAATTTTAGAATGATATATTCGGATCTAATCCTGGTCAATACAAAAGCCTGAAGTGAACTTTACCTCATTTAAAGTCTAACGAACGACATCTGCCAAGAGAGTCCAATTGTCTTTTCATGAAAGATTTTGTTGGTTCCCTTGCCTTGTCAAGCGAGCAAAGTTTTATTTAAATTATTTTACTAAAGAGTGCGTCATAAGGAATTAGTGTAGAAAAATATCTCAGTATTCAAAAATCAGATTTCCAAATATTTCATGGCTTGTTAATATATAATATATAAATATAATTGCGGCGGAGAATTATTGATTCAAAAAAATTATTCATTTTGGTTTACACATTTTTTTACTTTTCCAAGAATACCTCTCATTACGGCGATCACCAGTGCAATTTGCGGTCTTTCTTCTCGCTGTCCACCACTTGCATCGAAAGTCTAGGATGTCCTTGCATGTTGCTTCTGTTGCCTTTTTGATCAGGGCCCAATATCCTTCGATTTCCCGAAGTTCAGGACAGTTACATAATTTTCGCGGTACCACTTGGGAGCCGCGTTGCTGTAATGGCATGATGCAAGATCAGGCCAAAAGAATGGAGAAGTGTGACGAAACTTTTTCTTCGTTTACCTCAAGTACAGATAGCTTGCTAAACTAAAAATGGTTGCGGAAATTTTGTCTTTCTTTGAATTTAACATTTTTTATGGACATTCTCTTTAGCATCCGCAACACATAATGCACTATGCAACAACAAAATTCGTCGTTTTTCTCAATTTCTCAACGTTTCGTTTCGGTACTTTCTGCCATTATATGACTTTAGTCTCTCTTATTCTTTCGCGCTCCGCACAAATGACTTGGTACAATACGCTGAATGCTTTTCCATCCCGGGTTAGGATTGCCTTTTAACTTGGCCACCATCTTACGATCTATCTAGGATTCTCTTTAAACTTGTTAACTACCCGGAAAACAGTGTATTGACCAACTTTAGCAGCCCTTGCAGTTCGTTTAAAGTTATATTGCGGATTATTTAAGAAAAGTTTAACAAATAGCTCAAGCACATGAATTTTGAATTGTATTTCTAAGAAAGAAGTAAAAATACCGATAACGCACTCCTTACAACATTTCCAATAGAAGTTTCTCTTCTCACCCTCTCACTCAGCTTCAGTTTTACGCCATTACATCAATAAGCTTGATTGGTATAAGAAATTTTATTACATATTCTTCAGTACATATGTATTTATGCATATTTAAGTATGCAACTATGTAAACACACATGTAGAAACATATTCACGAATACTCTCTAGGATAACGAGGCCTTCGCCCACGGAATAATCGCCAATAAAAAGTAAAAAAATGCTTTTGAAAAATTCATCAACCCTTTCACATATACACAGATCGTGCATATATGCATATATAAAATGTATACACATATCCACACTTTCACAACGGCGCTGAATCAAAAATTGGCACTTAAGACAAATTGCTTGGCCTTTTTTCCACTCGAGCTTTTTAAACAAGCGCACACATACAAACGTGTATAGGAGTCAGCTGTGATGTTGTTCATCATCGCCTGCAGCACATTTTGTCGGCATTCAGGTCTCAATTCACCAGCTCATTTGACAGCAGGCAGCCATGAGCTGCGCACATACACATAATCTTCAGCAATTCAACAGCTGCTCATGCCCCACCACCAACCCTATCTATTTAATGCTTATCAACTTCCTTTCGCTTGATGTGTCACACAAATGGTAATGAAAATGGCGGTCGCCCGTGCGGGCGGTGCGAGTATACGGCATAAAATGCGCACTCACTCCAAAATATTATATTTTATTCATGACACAATCTACTTCACTCCATTTCACAGCAGCTGCCTTGGCGTACTCGTTGTCGTTCTCGCTGTTGTTGCACTGGTCCAGTCGTTTCACTGTCAACTCATAGCACTTTCCTAGGAAGACCTCTTCACACTTAAACTTTTAACTGCTCCACAATTTACTAACTCTCTTTTCCTTTCTCATACGTCTCAGCTAGGCTTTAATTGTCCTTTTGCTAGCGGCACACAAGGTTATTCCCTCGGTTCGTTGCTGCTAGTTCGGCACCGTTGAAGAGCTCGTACTTCCTGCTCCTTCCCCATCAACTTGGCATTTCGTGACATCAAACTGACATTTTACCGTCGTCATGCCACACACACACTTTTTGTAAAGACTCGTTCACTTGTCGCTCAAGTGCATTGCTCATTTGATCGTCGTAGGTTATGCTGTAGCCTCCTCATGCCTGGTTGAAGCTGCCTTCCTGGTGTAATTTTTCACTTTTCATACACTTTCCATTGTCGTTGTTGTTTTCGTAGTAATGTTTAATCTACTCATACAAGTCGGCAGGCCATCACATCTCTTAGTTCGTCGGGGTTTTTTTTTGCTAAAGAAGGTTACTAAAAATTCTTAGTGCGTCTTAAGCAATCTTGAGTGAGTGTTGTCCTACCTTGAAAAGTGAAAAGAATATTTTAATTGAACGCTGACACATCATCGTCAGCGGCTGACAAATTTGAGGTTATAATTAAAAAACAAGTTCAAAGTGCTTTTGCGATGAGAGGGAATTATGATGGTTAGAAATTTGAAAATAAATAAA